TTGGAGCTCAACAACTCTGAACTCTCCCTGTAATATCACTACACTCACCCGTTCCCATGCGCAACAGCCACTGTTTGCTCCACCACCTTTCTCTCCAGTCCATGAAGGATGGCGAAGATGAGCATTTAGCGTCTTTTAAGGAAGCTTTGAAGTCTGAAAGAGTAGGTTTTCCTTTCCAGTCCATGAACAAATGTTACATTCCTTTCCAGACCAACCAATACCATCAAGTATTTAATTTTGTTGCTTGAGCTCGAGTCAAGCATTGGGCCAGTTTATTAAGTCGGGAAACTAATGATTCATTCCATTATGGAAATCACCCAATTTGTTCCGATAGCTTTTTGCCAAAAAAAAATGGTGGGTGACTTTCCATTGAAGATGATTTCATGCTTTGAAACCTTTTTATTTTGAAGACATGCAATTGTGACTTCGTGGATTACTCATTGTGTATAAATGAATAATTTGACACTATCGACCATGAAGTTATGAATCTCCAAGGATTTTTAAAAAGCAATTAAATTTTATGTTGGACGTTTTATACACTTAGAGACTTTAAGCAATGAAGGCACAAAAAAACTTGAAAAAAGAAAGTGTGATTAAATAATTGGAAATATTACAAGAATTCCAATGAAAAAAAACGAAGGAAATCAATACATTGAATAGGTAAAAAGCACAAACTAATAGTATGATCATCTTAAACAATTAGAATGTAAACATACTAAATTTAGCAAATTGATCAACGGATTCATGTATGCATGTTTTATGCAAAATTCAATACCATATAAATGTTTAAATATCATAACCGGTAAATGGCCAAGAGAATCATTTTTCTCATCGACCTTTCATCATGCACATTGTTGTGAAATTATATGTGAACAATTACTTTCAAAATACTCCAAATGCCATAAGAAATTTGTAATCACTATAACATTAAAAAAAAAGAGAGAATAGCATTTATTAACCTTTGAGGTTGCATGTACAAGTACTAGCCTCTGAACTACTAAAAAAATAACCAATGAATAAGGATAGATTTTGAAGTTTTTTGTTGGTTAAGTATCATATTATGCTTCTCTGAGCAATTGGGGAAGGATAAAAGAAAATGAAAGCAGAGTAATAGAGAAGAAAAAAATAAGAATAATGAGTAAGAAAAGAGAAATCAAACATGATTTATCTTGAAACAATATTTGCAAGTGAATAATTTTGGAATTATTTTTCGATAGGAAGATTATTTTGGCAAAATACTCTTTCTTTGAAATTATTTTCTTCCTTTGCACCCCAGAAAAAAAAAATTAAGCATTTTCTACCAACTCAGAAGCATCTCTTAAGTTAATGAGCCTTATTTAATTAATGGCTCAAAACTGAGTAGCTTTCATAGCTAAAATTAGAGCACATGTTTCGAGACCAGTGATATGACTGATATCCAGCTTCTTCACCGCAATTTATTGGAAGAAAAATTTTCAACAACTGAATTTAGTAACCTGAGGAGTCAAATTAAAATATTATTTTTCAACACATGAGATGTAAAAAAAAAATAAAAAGGAAAAAGACATCAGAACTACGCAGAAAGTGAAAACCTAGAAATACATTTGGGTTGGAATGGGCTTTGGGACCAAAATTGTGGAATGGGTTAATTTCACATACCTCTCCTGAGGCTTTTGACAATTGCAGAAAGATCCCCTCAAGTTCTAAAAATTTTACCTACCTCCCCTATTTAAGTAACGTTCTAGACTCAAAAGGCTATATTTTTTTTCAAAATTTCCAGAATATCCTTGAGTTATAATTCACAACAAAAATGTAAAGGTAAAAAAATGGTTTACAGTCTCTATTTCAATTATCTTTACTTGCTATTCTAGATAAAATTTGTTCCCAAAATTAAGTAGTGAGTCAGTCATTTATCACTGAATGTGATATACACTTAAATGTATTAAATTCAATACTTAACAATTCAATAAGTTAATTGATTCAGATTTCAAATTTCAAACTTCACTATTAGCAAACGCACCCATAATCAAGTCAACCTCGACTTAAATTTTTGGCTCGAACTTAAACTGAAAATCAATTGAGCACCTATGGTTCGACTCATGTTCTCTAATTGATCTCGAGTATATAAATGTAATCTTTTCTGAAAATGAATTTATTAGCAGGTGGCCATAATGATTAACGAGAGTACAAGAGTGTATACTTTTTTATTGAGTTCAAGTGAAATAACTTTGGCCCAATTCGAGCCTTTTATCAAGTTGCTCAAAGCTTGAGCTGAGCTAAGCCACTGCCAATATCAGGCTTAGTTTGGAAGAAAAACTTTTATCAAAAAATGGAATGTGTCCAACTTGTCGAAACAAAATTTCTTAATACATCAACAGTCTAACTTAAAAGCTCAAACTCATGGACTTAATGTGTTAGTTTCAAGACTAGAAATAATGATTTTCTTCAGGGCAATTTATGGGAAGCATATTAGTAAGTCAAATTAAAAAAAATTATTTCAAGATTCGGGTGCTTCATTTTCGTCAGGCTATATTATGGGTTAAATTTCATTATAATTCTAGAAAAAAAAAAGGTATGGTCAAGAGGCAGCAAAGAAAGATTGAGTGTTTAACCGAGGCGACTTCGGTGCTGAATGAGGTGGTCATAGCAGTATTTGATTGATTATATTCATCTATCAACTTAACCAATGTGATTTTGCTTCTTTCTGGTTTTCATTAAGAGTTTTGCTTGTACAATTTCTAGTGGACATGTTACTAGAATTTTCTGCTATTTCTTTTGGGCACCAACTGAGCTGTGATGCCATTTTGAGCCCTAAATTAGCATGGGTACACAAAACCAAAACGCGACCTGAGATGGGTTTTGGGACTTGAAAGAATATGAGGGTATAAATTGTATCCTTTTCAAGGTGTGAGATTGAAAAAGGACGAGATGTGAGAAACTACTTTAACAATTTTCTTCATTTGAAAAATTAATAGACGTAAAATGGTGGGGTGATTTTTAAATATCCATTTCTTTCTCACGGACTACCAGACTTAGAAGAGATACGGCACACAGAGAATAGCCCATCACTTATGATAAAACACATAATCATGTGTTTTTATAGTAGTCATAGTCATGGACTTATATTCTTATACTATATAAGAATGAGTTATGATGAGAGGGGGCTCTTTGAAAATGTTGAATGTTGTAAAGTTTTTTTTTTCAAACTTTTGGTACAACTGAGGGCGGCATGTGTTTAGGTATATTTACTAAAATGCCCTCACTTTGGTACATTTAAAATTTTGATTTATGGAGACATTTGGATATTTCTGAAATATGAAATTATTTTGCAAACATTTTTGCATGGAGTACAACTCATATAAGCTTATGTGTTGGTATAATTACTGAAATGGTGTTTTAGATATATTTAATTGAAGTGTGGTTTTTGTTGTGTAATTAATATAAAGACATATTAACACATTGTGCAATTAACACGTTGCTATAACTAGCCGTTAAAGGATATTTCTTTGTCTGAAACAATTTATGTCTGCTCTTGGGCGATTTTCAACTGACGTTTGTAGGGGTCTTTTGGGAATGATAAAATTGTAAAAGTATTGATAAAACAAAATATACAAGTGTGTGCTGCAATTAGAATGTACTATTATTAGTTTGATCATATTTGATGACTATTTCTTTCGAGAATGTACTATTATTTGTCTAATGAAAATCCTCTCTAACGATAGGCATCAAACACCCGTACGATGCGCGGGCACTCCCACGTGTATAGAATTATAGTAAAGTTTAATGGTTGAATAAGTCTTACTTGACTAACTAATCTCTCTCGCAATTGCCCATAACTGCACCAACGCTTGTGATGTCAACCCACTATATTATAGGGATAATTTTTCTATGCATTGTCTATGTATAATATTTTTTTATACTAATAAATTTAGATCATGTCACATAACATGAATTTAAAATTAAAATTCAAATCATGCACATGTGATATTTATCCAAAATTGCTAATGTAAAAATATCACTACACTGTCTGTATATAAAAAGTTAATTCATATTAAAGTATATATATATATATATATATATATATGCAAAATCAATCAAAGTGATTGAACGTTGCTGGGGTCTGGTTGGGACGTTGACTTGGGTCCAACCACCAATGACTGAAGGATATTCAAAATCAGAATTTTGTGCTCATCCACGCCATTCTTCTTTCCCGTTTTGTCTTTTCTGTTACACGGAGTATCTACTACATAGTAAGAACTAGGGGTGGACGCAGATTTGATTTGAGTTAACCCATTTTATCAAGTTAGAAATAGTTTGAACTGCTCTAATTTTCATATTGATACGATTTTTTTTTGTGTAAAAAAAATAATTAGTGAAATATTTCCAAATTTTACAAGTTAATTAAACTAATAAATCAAGAAATAAAAATTTATTTCCTTGCTGTGCCACATTTTTATTAATCATCTAGTGACCAAGGTTGAAATTCCAAAATATAAAGGTTTTGAGTTTTAATCCCCCTCTCCTCTCCTCTCCCTACGCTCCTAGAAAAAGGAAAACAAAAAGTTGAGCGGCTGTACAATTTGGCTATTTGTATTGCAAAATCGCAACTTGATCATTCATTTGCTTTTGACCAATTAAAAATTATCCAAAGCCGCTCTAATCTTCATCTTCATGCATTAATTAGGCAAAAAAATTATGGCTATTCAGAAAAGAAATAGTAATTGTGCAAATAAAGAAAATTAAACTGCAAATATGAGAAAAAAAAACTCTAGTGCAAAATATATTGGACATCAGAATTTCACTTCATATAGTTCCTCTTTCAATCTTGCAAATACATTGGACCTTTTTCCGAATTCGAGAACCCCAATAGAGTAACTAGACCAATTCATCTCCTTCTCATGTTCCAATTGAACACTTTCCATGTTTGCTTTTTCTCAAAGGAATGAGACCTGTAATACTCGTAGAATCTAGATAGGATCCAATAATCAATATAAAAAGACCATGCTCTTCTATAATAAGGGCTAACACAGAATTACCACAAATGAAATCACCATCACCATATATGAAGCAAAAAAGCTCCAAGCAAATGCTGCCACGTCAATTGCACCATCAACTTCGATGTCTTGATCACCAACATTTTCAGGGTGTGGAGCAAAGGGGTTACAACTTCTCTTGAGCAATGGTCCACAGAGACCTGGATTTCCTCTATAATTGCTGTCGTCAAAGGTTGCAAACTCCCCTGTATCAGGTACCCTGCCAGACAAGTTATTGAATGACACATTGAACTTCGACATGAAGTTCAATGATGCCAGCTTTGAAGGTATTTCACCACTGAAATTGTTGTAAGAAAGATCCAAGCTCTCTATTTGGTTCAACATGGAAAGTCTTGAGGGAATAGATCCTTGCAAGTAGTTGTGGGATAACTTTAATGCCCGGATATGTATGAGATCACCAAATTCAGGAGGAATCGCTCCAATCAATTGGTTACATGACAGATCAAGTCCAGACATGTAATTCAATATATTCCCTGCATAGTGTTCGCTTCTACTTTTTGTTGTGAATATCACTTTTTCTTGCTGGGAAAAAGTTATAGAATCCTCACTCGAGGTTATCTCGATGGCCAAAAAAGGAAGGTTTATGACGAATTCAATACCCAAAAGCTCGGCATAGGCAAAAAGTGCATCTGTGGAGAACTGCCCTCTGCCAAAAGAAATGTTGTTGAAGCATGTAGGCAATGGCCCAGAAAACTTATTCTGAGAAAGATCCATAATTGTCACATTCTGCAGCTGACATAAGTGCAAAGGAATATGACCAAGCAATTCATTTCCCCCCAATAGAAGAACCCTGAGCTCTTTAAGTTTACCAATATAGCGTGGTATACCGCCAGACAGCTTGTTGTAACCCAAATCGAGTGTCATCAAATTGAAGCTCCCAGACAGCATGTTTGAGATGGGCCCTGAGATCATGTTGTGATGCAGGTGGATGAACTTCAATGACGTAAGCTCGGAGCAGGCTGGTAAAGGTCCGATCAACTGATTTTTGGAGAGGTCTAAAAATGCAAGATATGAAAGTTTGCATATAGCTTCTGGTAAGCTACCTTCTAGCAAGTTGGCTGACATGTCAAGACCCTTCAAATGTGAAAATTTTCCAATCCAACTTGGAATTTTGCCTTGAAAAGAATTGTTTGAAATATCCAGCCAATATAAACTGGGAGAACGAGATAATCCATGTGAAATGCTCCCAATAAAATGGTTATTATCCAAGTGAAGGAATTCTAGGCTTGTTAAGTTCGTGGACCCAGAAGGAAAATTGCCATGCAAATTATTATAAGACAATACCAATATTCTAAGACGTAAACATCCAGTTCCAATTTGACTTGGCACCTCCCCTGAAAACATGTTGTGGGACAAATCAATTGTTTCTGCCATTGTCAAGTTTCCCAATGACTGGGGAATTGGCTTCCAATGAATTTCCTGACAAATTCATCCACTCCAGTAATGGAAAAGATAAACCAATATTTTGAGGAATCTTACCACTGACGTCATTGTTTGAGATGTCTAATCGACTTAGCTTTATTTCCCGAGAATCATCTACAAGAAACGGACCCGTAAAAGAGTTATCCTTTAGAACAAGAACTTCAAAGTTTGTATTATTCTGCAGAAGCCAAGTAGGAATCTGGCCGACTAACTTATTGGAAGAAAGATCAAGAATTTGCATTTCTTTCTGATAGAGCAGGAAACTTGGGATTGTTCGAGTCTGATTATTCAAGTTGCAGCCAGATAAATAGAGATCCTTTAGCTGAAATGGTGGGGGCAGAGCAAGATCCTCAGTGTCAACATGTGAATCATTGTTTAAAGGTCCAAGTTCGAACCCCTGAAGCTTTGAATGGTTGCCCAAAGAATTGAAAGAAAAAGAACCTCCAAAAAGGTTGCCAGAGAGAGATAGATATTCAAGGTGTACGAGAGGAGTAATGAGAGCTGCAGGGATGTTTCCGCTGAGAATATTTTTGGAGAGATCAAGAACTCGAAGAGACGTCAAGTTTCTGAAGCACATAGGAACAGGCCCGTAAAATTTATTGTCACTCAGCTGAAGTTCATCGAGATTCTTCAAACTGCAAATTCCTGTCCAAAAAACAAGTTCATTGTAAGCTTTTGATACAGTAATAGTCGATGCTAGGTATGACTTGTCAATATATAGCCAATTCAGAAACCATGAAATCATATGTTACACGCAAAAAAATTGAAATGTTGGTTTCCAAATTTCATCCGTTCTAGCTCAACATTTGAAAAGTAAATAGCAACTTCATGCAAGCAACCGAGCCTTTCACAGCCTATCTTATTACCTTGAACGACGGAGGAATCATTAATACCAATACCGTTCAAAGATAAGGCTTTGAGAGAAGTTAAAGCCTCAATGTCGGAGAGTTTGTTAAATTTTGTATATCCAAGATTGAGTCCCTTCAAGTTCTCCAGCTTCAATTCTGCAGTTCAAAACTTTATGTTAGTGTTATAGTTTTGGATATATCAAAATTACATAACTATTGCTGCATCTCCATTCCCTATTCTATAAGAATTTGTATATTTCAAACAAGGTAAATTATGCCACAGGTCGACAAAATTTTCAAAGTCTTATTTAATCCACTATACTATTTTTTCACGTCAATGATGCATTGAACAGCTAAAAAGGATCAAATTGGGCTATTCTATCCATTTGCTCGATTAAAATAGACGAAATTCATTGCATGTGAGCTGCACACTCTGCAGGGGCAGCTTTGTCATTTGGTAGTAAAAAGTTGTATGGTAGACAAAGGGGACGTTTGATAAAATTAAAAACTAAAACCTGAAAACTAAAACTTAATTGAAACCTAAATTTACTAAATTTCATAAAGTGAAATATGTTTGATAACCAGCTAAATTCGAGCACTAAATTAAAATATTTTATTTTGTTTTAAATTATATAGTTGAATAGTAATATTACGTTTTACTTTTGTACTATATTAACTTTTTAAATATCAATTTTTTATACTAATAATCTGCATGCTAATAGGAAAAGTATGTTTTTTGTATGTGCATATGAGAAACAATTTGCAAAATTTAGTGTGAAATTGTCTATCTTCAAGAGAAGTAAAATATATATTTTGTGTGTTTGATGGAGAGATTATGTTTAAAAGTGCATGTTATACAAGAAAATACGTGTAGGAGAGGGAGAGAGAATATGTGTGCATCTGAGAGAGAGAGAGAGAGAGTGTGTGTGTGTGTAGGTGTGAGAGAGAGAGAGAGATGTATATGTGTGAAAGTGTGTGAGGGTATAAGAGCGCGTATGTGACAAAGAGAGAGAGAGAAAGTATATGTGTGTGATGGGAGAGAAAGAATGAGAGAGAGTATTTTTTTGTAGTACACGCACTTAATACATCATTTTTAAGTACTTAATGGAATTACCAAACACCAGCCAAATGAGACTTTAGAAAAATTTGTCACCCAACATTCACTTTTTTGGAAAAATTTTTTGAAACCAAAGAATAATAACAAAAATCTCTCAGAGAAAAATTAAAACACAAACTAGTCCTTGCATTTCTAGTTCTTTTAACAGAAGTGTTTTAACAAGAATGATTTGCATTTTTGAAAAATGAAGTAAGGAAAACAACAAAAAAAGAGGCAGCACAAAATACTTAAGTATATATTATACAGATGAATAAATAAAGAAGAATAAAAATACAAAAATGTACTTGAATTTCTCTGATTGTTAGTCAATGGATTTCTGAATTAAACGCAAAAGAAAAACTTACATAACCAATCCTTTTAGATTACAAATAATCCTCCCACCTTTTGTTTATGTTCCACTTTTCAATCGAAGGTTAATTAAACCTACTAAAACGAATGGAGTATTTCTAAGATACAGCTAACCTAAGGCAGATTTTGTTAATTTTGTGAATTTATTTAGGAATTTGGACATATTTTAACATCAAATTAGTTGTACAGATATTTCCATCCTATCCTTATAATCTTGGGGGAGGGGGCGGATGGGTTGGGTGGTGGAGTATAAGTGAGAGGTATCATATTCGAGTCCTCCTACTTATATCTAATCTTGAAATGGAAAGACAAAATGACACTTAATACTTCAAAGAAAATAATTTCGATTCTAACTTATTCTAGGCAAACCATGTATAACTTTATCTCAAATTGGACTCACATACCACTAAAGGATAAGGAACCAGAAAATCCAGCATCATATGTGCAGCAACAAGATGATCCAAGAACTCAGAATGGGCAGATTCCACGCCCACAACCCTCATGCCTATGGATTGGACATTTTTATCTTTTCTGGTGCATCTATACTTTATAATTTAGGTATATCACCACATTAAAAATAAAATTAACTAATTAACATCTTTCAGACTACTGCTCGCATGTTAGTCCACAGATACTTATTAAAATGTAAACAACTTTGAATCTGTAAATCAAGCCACCCCTCTAATCCCATATTTGTGAAGGTAAAATTGAAAAGAATAAGACGCTTTACAATTAAAGTTCTCATTTAAGAGCTTTTAATTGGAATAGAGTACAAATAAATAATACTAAGTCATTATAAGTATAGATATTCATTTACTTCTACGTGCGAAACAAGAACTAAAACAATGAAGCGGAAAAAGAAAAAATAGACAAACAGAAAGTCAAAGAAATTTACGTAAGGTCAAAGAAAGTATCATAAAAGAATTATGAAATGCTAAATTTCTTTCTTTTCGAAGAAATTCTGCTTTATATTCTTCTTTACTTGCTGGCCAATGTAATATTTTCTTAAAATTTTGCAGTGACATTTTTTTTGTAAATTTTATTTCTCTACTTTTTTTATGAATCAAGTTATTTTCTTACTAAAGTACTTCTATTATTTCTCGAAAGATTTTGGAGTGCAAGGACCACCTGTTTCGTAATGTTTTGCTAATATAGTTTTTTACTTTTTTATTTAATTTCCAAAATGTTTTCTTATAAAGCACGTCAACAATCAGTAAACTTTTCTAAATTCTCATTTAGTCCATTTTATTATTTTCATATATGCAATGAGGAAAATGTTCCAAATGTAACGTGCAATTCACATGCCGTAAATTTTGTCTCTTTTTAATTGAAAAAATAAATAGAACGACCAATTAATTATTTTTAGGAGTTTAGCAGTTCAGTTGACATAGGAAACACTACAGTAAGCTAAATTAGATTTTAGAAAGGTTTGGTGATTGGTGATTCATTACTAGACTGTAAAAATTTGTTAATTTTTAGGAATTTATTTCCTTATTGGAATTTGGACAAAATATAACATCAAATTATAGAAATAGGGAAAAGTATACAGATAGTTCTGTCCTATCCTTAAAATCTTGAAATAGAAAGAGAAAATAATGGTTATACTCCAAATCATGTGGCAGGATCCAAAGAAAATTATTTCGCATCTAGCTTATTCTAGGACCGTAATTATTATTTTTTTTGAAAAGAAAAATAACGTATCCCAGTTCAACTATATACACCTTTATCTCAATTTGGATATGCGTACCTTTAAAGGACAAGGAACCAGAAAATTGATTACCGCTTAAGTCAAGAAACTCCAATTTTTCCAGACGCTTGAAATCTGCAGCAAGAAGATGATCCAATTAGAACTCCTTGAATGGGCAGACTGCGGTCCAACAACTCTCATGCTAATGGATTCTACAATTTTATCTTTTCTTGTATATCTATGCTTTATAATTTTGGCATATGCAACATCTCTCACAACTACAAAAAAAAAAAAAAAAAAAGATTAACTAATTAGCATCTTTCAAACAACTACTCGCATGTTAGTCTACAGGCGACTTGTTTCCCCCTATAATTTAGTATTTTTATACATAATCCCCCTATGATTTTAAAAACTTTATACAATTCTCTCGTGCTTTGGATTAAAATGTCAAAGTAATGGAATTTGTAATTCATAATGAAATCACCTAAAATATAAAAAATGCTTCTATGTAAAGTTGAAAATTATTTATTAACCACAATGGGGATTATGTGTATATTTTGAAAACCATAAGGGAGTTATATGGTAAAACATTAAACCATAAGGAGGTTATATGATAAAATATAAAATCATATGGGATTAGTGCATCATGTATATTATGTTTATATATTTTCATCACTTCAATCATTTTAAATTTTAAACAAATGTAATTTCGACATTTTTAAAGGTTCTGTTACGAATGATTATTTCCGTCACTTTGACACGTTAATTCAAATCATGAAGGGGTTATGTATAGTTTTTGAAACCATGAGGAGATTATGTGCAAAAATATAAAATATGTAAAATATAAAATGTAAAATATAATTTGCCCTTTTTTTTCTTTCTTAAGTCCATAGCCAATTATTAAAATGTAAACAAACTTTGGATATGTAAATTAAGTTACCCTCTAATCCCATGCTTGCGAAAGTAAAAGGAAAAACAAATAAGATGCTTTGCAACTTGCTCCACATCAATAAAGTTCACATTTAAGAGCTATTAATTGAAATAGATTACAAATAAATAATGCTGCATCATTCTAAGTTTAGATATTCATTAATTTCTATGTGCTGAACAGGACCCAAAACAACTGAAGTAGAAAAGCAAAGAATAGAACAGACGCAAAGTCAAAGAAAATTGTGTAAAAAGGTTATTGAAAGTCTCATATAAGAATTATAGATAGCAAGTGAATATACCTTCTATAGGAAACGATCCCCCTTTTAAGTTGAGTAATTGCCGTTATACATGGAATTATACTGTTGTTGAATTTGTTCCAATCGAGGTATAAGGACTCGAGATTTTGCAACTTAGCCCAATTCCTGCAGCCTGCAAAGCACGGGTCAGATTCTAAGAAACGGACTAAATGCCAAAGAAACCCCTTTGGCTAATCCAATATACACATTTCCTCCTAATAATTTGAAAACGTACCATTTAACATTTGCTGAACTTTCTTTATCAGTTGTCTGCTAACAATGAACAGGATAATATGGATAGCTACAAAATACCGGGGGTGTGAAAATTATGGCACTCGCCGAACTATTGAGTGAGATTTAAGGCCATTGAGACGGAAGGATAAAACTTAGTTCGTGCATAAGAGGTTCAGATGTATTTAACATTTTTTTTTTATTGGGGTGTCCCGGACAGTTTCAAGTTTTTTTTTTCTTTTTTGGGTAAAAATACAACCAAATCGAGAAAGTATCTAATGTAAAGGTAACAATAAATGTCATTGCGATATAAATTGGAAGGTATTTTCTAATGGGCACCCTACATATTTAATATTCATCTGACCTATTACGTATATACGCATACTAATAATTATTGCATTTTCTAGCATTTGTATATTTTTCTATTTAATCTGACCTATATTTATTTTATTTTTCTAATTAATCTTATAATTTTAAAATTATAACATTTGAAAACATATCTCGACGTGTTGGGCACTCGGTTGATAAATCCAAATTGGAATTATGAACACCAAAGCGCAACTCGTGCACAGGTATTTTGTATGATTGTGATTTCAATTGCTTTCCTTTCCCCATGCGCCGCAGTATCAACACATTTTAGCAGCAAGTAGCGCACGAGTGCATATTAGCTCAAAGCGTGAAAAGAAAGCAACTAACTGGAGTCGTTTGAACCCGTCCTGTCGGGGTTGAGGACCGACTCGTCAATGATCGTTTAGTGACGGCGGGCCGTGCCCACAACTGTTAGTTTTTTTTTTTTATTAAATTTAATATTCGAGCATGATTAAAGTTTTTAATAGAAAAACAATGATGAAATAATCAAATCGGCCTTTGAACCAAGTCATATATAAATTGTAGACAAAATGACATCATTGCAAAAATTAAATTTCATAATAAAGCTTCTTCTTCCCTACTGATTTCTGGCAAAAGAAACACTTATTAGAGCTTTGCAGCGGTCCACCAAAAGAGGTTTTCGATATTTGACTCTAAATAAAATGATGTGAGATTTAAACTTTTTAAGACTTTTATACTTTCCACGTCGGCAAAGATATAAATGTTTGTACATCACACAAACTAATTTGTAACCGGTCACCCATTGAATTGAAAACTATTTGATAAATAAATAAGACACACTATCAAAAAGCGTGGAAGTAACACTTAGTTGCTAATTGACTAAAAGAAAATGATGGTAAGAAGCGAGAGCAATTCGAATTCAAAAAATAAAAAGTATACTTTGTAATGCAATATCTTAGCAAAATCAAAACATATACAAGATTAAATTTTATATTTTACTCTGGAAAATTAGTAAATTGCAAAGTACAAAGAAGGAAAAGATTCAACATGGTGTATGTGGTTTAGGCCAAGATTCAATTATTGCTGGGGAAAATTAAAGGATTTTCTTGCGGTGATGAAGAATGGGATGACTGGTTGAGAGGTGATTCAAAGATTGAATTAACAACGAAAGAAGTTTAAGATGACGGAGACTTTCTTGGGTTGACCAACTTTGACTAATACAAAGAACTAAACCCTTTAATCAAAATTGGTCCAGTTCAATGGTTCAGTCGTCGAGCCAAACCATTCATTGTTCATACTAACATCTCAAAACTCAAAAAGTTTGCCTCCTTGTGCTGTTGGAAAAATTTATAATGTAAAATAAATAGCACTTTCCTCCAATTGGAGCATAAAGATCCCTCCAATTGGATTGGTACAAACTAAATATATTTGTATTCTCAAGCAATACATCACCAACTACACTTACTATATCTAACATTTGTACCACGTCAAGTTTAAATATATTAACCTGCAAAAAAATCTTCTTAATTATTGTGGGAGAACTCTTTCATAAGATGGCGAGAATACCAAAATAGTAGATACCAAGAACAAGAAACTTCAAATTATACAGTATAAACGACTACAACACTAAAGAAACCAATGATTTGAAAAAAAGATGGTAGGGTAGTTACCTGTCACTTCACTATTGAATTCATTACCACTCAGGTCTAGAGTTCGCAGGTCCTTCAGAGGTATGAAAGTGCTAATGTTTACATGCCAATTCTTTCGCAAATCACTAAGGTGGAGTTCAACAATTCTCCCAGTAATATTGCTGCACTTGACCCGTTCCCAGGTGCAGCAATCAGTATTTGCTCCATCACCTTCTTTTCCAGTCCACGAAGAAAGGATAAGATGAGCATTTGTAGTCACATTTAAAGAAGCTTTGAAGTCCAAGAGAGCATGTTTTTCTTCTAGAAAGCAACCTGAGCAAAGCCGTCTTCCGTTGAGTATTATTGATACAGCAAGAGCCCATGAGGCAATCAGAATGGAATGACCGCGCATGATTTCAGTATGGAGAATTAGTGAAGGAAAGTGTTGTAATGAAAATGGAAGGCAGGATAATTTATAATCGCTTATCAATGTACTGGAACGCAGGTCCGGAGACCGGAGACAAGTCAACTCAGGTGTAAAACAGTGGCGGATTTACATTGGGACGCTGGGGACACGGGATCCACTCTCTCCCTTAAATTTCTATGATACCTATAAAAATTTGATGTAATTTCAAGTGTGCCTTTGGAGTTTTGTGTATCTATTAGTTACTTATATTGAGAAAAATATACTTCGTGAAGTTTAAAATAAAAAGGTTGTAAACTGTTATTAAAATATGAAAACTCGCTATGAGCAATTATAAATGGTTTAGTTTGCTTTTGAAATAAAATTATTATTACATTAATAATTTTGAGTTTGTCTTTTGATTTTTTCATGAAATATATGCATCATTTGTACTTGTTGATGGATATTTTTCCTTAAAAAACTAAAAAAAGTATTTAACCATTTATATTAAGTTTTTCAAGAATATAACAATGTAATGTTATTATATATCAAATAATGTAATAAGAACAATAACCATACCCAACATATAAGATTACAACAACACAGCCCGTGTCACATATTCAGATGTCCACTAATAGAGCACTCAGATGTTCATAACCTGTTGAAGTTAAGGGATGGCAGCAAAAATTCGACAGCTAAGAGAAACCTATGCCTGTAATCGATATGGGCACTACCACACATCCTCTTGTGGAGCTGGAAGCTGCAAAATCAGCCACTAAATTATTGTACACCTTTGCTGATCACGACCAAGTTGTTCAATTCCAACCTGTAAAATCACCCTCCGGTAAGCAATAATATATTAAGTTCAATAACTAACTCAAAAATTAAGTTCAACAACTTTGTATATTAAACTTTCACCACTCTATTCAAGTGATATATGCCTTATCTGATCAAGGTAAGTGAACATATTTATGTCATAATGTTAACAGTTGAAGTTGACGGAGTGAGCCTCATAATTAATCATAAAGAGTCTAGGGGGTTAATAAGAACAAAAATAGTTCAATAGGCTAAGTGAAATTTTATAATAATTTGATGACTTCTAGTGCATTTTACTCTAAAATTAATTATGTGATTTATGACTGTAGGCGCAAAATGAGTTATAGTCTTTGATCTAATAGTTAAGGTTGAGATTTCAAGGTTTAAAGATTTTGGGAGGGGTTCCATTCTCTCTTTTTTCCTCTTGCTTTTTTAAGTCCTGCCCCTCTCTTGCTTGAAAAAACAAAGCACAAAGTGAACAATAATTAAATACAACAAATAGAAGGACCCAAAAGTTAGAGAGGTAAGAACACATAACCCGAAAATTTCTAAACAACTATAATTTCTGACACAAATGTAAATTAATTTACGTTTTTATATAACGAAAAGTTCTATTGTTGAATGCGTTCCTAATATTTTGAGAATTGATCATTAGGGGAAAAAAAACAAACATGGAATCGAATGTCCTAATTAAGAAGCTACAAACACCCCAATAGATTAAGTGAAAGTTTGCCACCGATTTAGGGCTTTCGACTTTAGTTTTAGGAATATGCACAAGCAAAAAAAAAAAAAATAGAATGATTGATTTGTCTAATCTCAAATACGAAATACTCAAAATCTATTCATAATGGTATAGAATCAAGATTCATTAGGCATTGTTAACAAAGCATTATTTATTTAGTTTTCCAAGAAAATTACCTTTCACCCTTGAATTGAGAATTTCATTTCCAAATCTTTTTTTTTTCTTTTGGAAGTGCAAAAGTTTGAATTCAGAACCTCCTACTTACAATCCATTTGTCTTACCAGCCAACCCTCCCCCTTATTTCCTAATCTTGTTTAATTATTTTCTAAAAGTGAAGCAAAAAATTTCTTTTTGCTTATTACTAAAAACACTCCTTTTAGTTCTTCTTAAGTTCTTAAATTATTTCTATAAATTTCCTTGCCCCCTCCCTGCTTCTTAAACCCCACTATTTTCCTATATATATATATATATATATATATATATATATATATATATATATATATATATATATATATATATATATATATATATATATGGTTATGTTAGTTTACTCAAACTCGACTGAATATAGTTAGTT